ATGGGGAAGACGCCGACACTGGAACAATGCCAGGCCTTCCTGAGTGCAAATACAAACGCCAAACTCTTTTCTGAGAGGACTGCAAAAGAACTTCAGGACAAATGTCGGACCATAAATCGACAGACACAAAAGAACGAATAATATTTCATGCATTCTTACACTGTACAATTATTTCTTTTTAAACTCAAACTCAAACTTAACAACCCCAACTTGAAAGGCACCCTTAAGGAAGAATCAAAGTATAATTCACCCTTATAGGGCTATAAGGTTAAGGGATGAAGACTAGGGTCTAGGGCTAGTACTAAGTAATATTTCAAAGTATAATCCCCCTCAGGACTAGGTCTAGGGATAGGGCTAGGATATAGGATAGGTACCTCTACGGTAGGGCCTAGGGATAAGGGATGGAGACTAGGGTCTAGGGCTAGTGATAGGGAAGTAGCTAATTCAAAGTATAATCCCCCCTCAGGACTAGGTCTAGGGATAGGGCTAGGATAAAGGATAGGTACCCCTAGGGTAGGCCCTAGGGCTAGGGATAAGGGATGAAGATTAGGGTCTAGGGCTAGTGATAGGGAAGTAATATTTCAAAGTGTAATTCCCCCTCAGGTCTATGGCTAGGGCTAGGATAGAGGATAGGTAACCTTAGGGTATATAGGGCCTAGGGCTAGGGATAAGGGATGGAGACTAGGGTCTAGGGCTAGTGATAGGGAATTAATATTCAAAGTGTAATTCCCCCGTCAGGGCTGGGCTGGGATAGGGCTAGGACATTTATAGGATAGATAACCCCTAGGATAGGGTATTACTTCCCTAGCACTGCACAGTTGGTAGCTACCCTGGGGGACTTACCCAGGGTTCGGATGGATAGTAAGCTACCCCTGAGGCTAAACCACGTCGGATGGATAGTAAGTTATCCCTGAGGCTAACGCTAGCACTAACGCCCAGGGTTAGGAAGGATAGTTAGCTCCCAGGTACCTACACTTACCCGGGTCGGGGGATACGCTAGCACTTCCCGGGTTCGGAGGATAGGAAGTATCCCTGGGCTAACGCTAGCACTTATCCCCAGGGTTCGGAAGGATAGTGAGCTATTCCCTGAGGGCTAAAGAGGGCTACCGAGGGTGCGGGATGGATAGTAAGCTACCTGAGGGCTTTGGGTATAAAAGAGAGAAGAGTTTGGGGATGATGCATCCAGTGTTTCCTCAGGTCTATGGCTAGGGCTAGGATAGAGGATAGGTAACCTTAGGGTATATAGGGCCTAGGGCTAGGGATAAGGGATGGAGACTAGGGGCTAGGGCTAGGGCCCTTGCCCTTGACAAGGGGCTCCACTTGTCCTCTCGAGGAAAAAATGTGTCCTTTTTTCGTCCTCCGAGCCCGTGGGAGTCCTCTGGGCGTCCTCCGACTTCTCCAGAGTCCTCCCATGTCCTCCGTGGCCCCGGACAGGTCATCCCATGTCCTCCTTAGCCCTGGACAGTCCTCTGCCGCCCGGGGAGGTCCTCCCCCGTCCCTGTTGTCCTCTGATTTCCAGTTGTATGTCCTGCAGTTTCCCCCCCGTACGGTGGACGACACGCAGTGGGGCCAGCCGATGAGTCCTCCCACTTTAAAGATAGTGGACGAAAATCGCCCTGGACAGTCCTCTGCCGCCCGGGGAGGTCCTCCCCCGTCCCTGTTGTCCTCTGATTTCCAGTTGTATGTCCTGCAGTTCCCCCCCCGTACGGTGGACGACACGCAGTGGGGCCAGCCGATCAGTCCTCCCACTTTAAAGATAGTGGACGAAAATCGCCCGCCAACTGGCGGGCGGTTCCTGGCCGGAAGGGAAGGGTCATTGTTCTGCTGCAGTGTCGTCTGTTGGGCTGAGCTGTCCTCCGGGCTAGGGCGAGGGCCAGATGCAAGGGACCTCAGTTGTAAGTAACCAGTGCTTCACCTAATATCATGTTTCCCTTGTTTGTCCTCTAGGTGACCCTGCAGGCATCCCTACACCTCGCAGGGAGGCCAAATGCCATGTGAGAAGAATGGACGTTGCTGTGTGGGTCCGGCCGCTCATAGGCAGGTATATGCAATGGAGCAGCCTGACTGGGATCTGGATAGAGTCGAACCTGGGAAGTTAGAGGGATTATGTATGGGCCTGCCCAAGAGTCATGACACTGTCTGTACTTCGAACAAACAGATGACAAAAACATTAACAGGGGGGCATATACAATTTCCAGGGTACCCACCCCCCACCCCTTCACTGTTTGAACCCGTACCTACATAAACTTTCTGTAGTGTTGAGACAGTCCTCAATTAGAATGTTACTGCTTTCTTTGAAACAGAACTCACCCTCCAGCTGGAGAGGAACGAGAGGGAGTGGGATGAGTACCACAGGAAAACTAGGTGAGACTTTATTAAGTAGTTGGTGGATAACTTCAGTCGGGATTTATACTGTGACCTCTTGTTTAGACAAGTGGAAGAAGAGATCAAATACCTAAGGCAGCAGCTACACCAAACAAATGTGAGCAACTACCAATTATTGGTGTACTCACTTTGGACTATCATGTTTGTACTGAGAGAGACCGTTGGATGGTACACTTCTTATCCTCTCCCTCAGCTGCCCGACCACCCAAGTCCTTCCTCCCCTCCCTCTCCTTCTCTCTGCAAGGCAGCTCCCTCCTCAACTCCTGCCTCACCACCCCAGCTCTCCCTGTCCAACCTCTCCCCCTCACTCTCCCTCCCTCACAGAAGCAGCAACCCCAGGAGCCAGCGGGGCAGCTCTGCAGGATGAAATGTAAGAAACAGACGTTCCGGTCTTATCTCTCGTGTTACTGGTGTATGTTTTCTCACCTACAGGTCAATAATATGCAACCAATTTATTATGGAGGTTATACAAAAATTTGAAAACAAACCTGCAAATGAGGTTAGAACACTATTGCTCCTAGAATGTGCACAATATTAAACAATTGTTATATTATATAGGTCTTGCAGGAATTGACACTAGGAACAACAAATGGAGAAGAGGTTTTATCGGTGTCAAAAAGTACCATTGACCCACAACACACCATACTAAAATACAGTACTGACTGTAAAAGACGTTACTTCACTAAAAAGGGGCATGCCTCAACGACTAGAAATAGTCGACATTGGGCATATATTTTTAGGTCGGCAATTAGAAGAGCTCTGTTAATCATTACTACCTACATCAATTATTTTGCAGGTGCAGCCCTTCTCCTCCAAGAAATTATACACTGCAGTAGACGACCATTCCATATAGACCATGTATAACTTTTGATTATCTTGAAGTTGACATTGAAAAAATGCACGGCACAGTAAATGTCACCACATACAGCGACACTGTGAGCGTTCAGTGCAGCAACCAAGACCTTTGGAGTCTTCATCCGCTGTTGGAACTCCACAGCTGGAATCAGGGAGTCCAATCGATAAAATGCCTGTCTGGTTTGGACACCATATCCACAAACCTGGTTAACTCCCAGATAGACCCCATACTCTGGCAGAACCAGCTGCAGAATTGTAGCAGCGTTTAAGATTCACAGAAGTCAACTGAATTTCTGTAGTTATTCTTCTAATCAGCTGTATCATGCATAATTACACAGCATGTAAAAATTAACACAGAGTGTAGGGCTAGGGCTAGGGCCTCGATACTTAAGTGTATTGACTAAGTAGAGCTAGGGCCTCGAAAGTAGGGCTAGGGCATACGGCCCCAATACTGGTGCTGGGCCTCGATATTTAGTGTATTTGACTAAGGGCTAGGGCTAGGGCCTCGATACTTAAGTGTATTGATTAAGTAGGGCTGGGGCTAGCCTCGTGTATTGACTAAGTAGGGCTAGGGCCCCAATACTATGGCTAGGGCTAGGGCTACTTAGTTAATACACGAATGACCACAAATTATATAAGCAATTAGGGCTAGGGCGAAGGAGCTTAAGTGAGATTAGTGTTAGGCTAAGGCGATGGAATTTTAGCCATAGTAATTAGGGCTAGGGCTACGTGAATTAAGTATTATCAAATAGGGCTAATGCTAGGGCTAAGTATTGGCAATAAGAGGCAGGTAATATTAGCAATTAGGGCTAGGGCTACGTGAATTAAGTATTATCAAATAGGGCTAATGCTAGGGCTAAGTATTGGCAATAAAAGCCACGTAATATTAGCAATTAGGGCTAGGGCCACGTATCTTGATTATTAGAAATTAGTCCTAGGGCTAGGGCGATGGAATTTAAGTAATTAGGGTTAAGGCTAGGGTCACGTAAGGTAAGCATTAGGGCTAGGGCCACGTAAGTTAAGTATTATCAATTAGGCTAGGGCTAGGGCTAGGGCCACGTAAGTTAATAGTAATTAGGGCTAGAGGTAGGGCTGCGTAAGTTAAGTAGGGCTAATGCCAAGTATTGGAAATAAAGGGCTAGGGCTAGGGCCATAATCACGTCCCATAATGGGACTATTTTCCGGGATTTTTGGACAATTTCCCGGATTCTGGGACGTTTCGGATGCTTCTCGGGACACCGGAGGAACTTTCCGGGACATTTGGTTTGGGACGGGACGGGTATCTTGGGACGTGTGATGGATATCGTGGGACATTAGGGGCATATCCTTGGGACGTACGAATAATGGTCCGTTTGGGACGATAGAGTTCTGGAATAGTGTGGAATGGGGCTTATATCGGGACAGCAACCACCCACCTCAACCTGGTCATTTGGTTTATACTATTAGTTGGCTTGGACATAGGATTACTAACGTACGTGTTATAGTTCTAACTAGTGTTGTGCTCTTATTTGCACAGAAGTGTCTGTCCATTTTGTTCATTGTCATATGCCGTGAACGTGGTATATCGATATTATATTTGTATCAAACTTCCTGTTCTTTGATGCACTGCAATCCACTGTTGTGCTGTTAGTGCCAACATGCTCTTACAATGCACTGTGTTCTGTTGCACGCAGCAATGCTATGAGTCGGAATAGCTAAACGTCCACCATACTGTAGTTGAAGTTGTACCACAGAAGCCCTAGAAGTCAAAGGCACCGCACGCAGTGTATGCGCACTAAGACAACTCATTAGTATGCATGCCATGGTGTATGGTGTGCTGACTCAGCCATACACTCACATGTGGTGTATTAGCTCTCATACACCATGGCATGCATACTAATGAGTTGTCTTAGTGCGCATTCCTGTGGTACAAATTGGTTACACTATACCCAATCGACGGTTTAGTGCATTCACTACTCGTGCTGCGCCACTCGTACTGTGTGTCCACTAAACCGTCTAGTGGGCATAGTGTATATTCGTTTTTCCATGTCTCCTCACTATGAAAAAAGGCTGTTCTGCGCTGATATATTGTGTCTGGTCATTCTATAAGCATGTGTTATAGATATCACAGGTTAGAGTATATAAGTGCATGATTGTTATCTGGACTGTTGTATTCTATTATTGTGAAATCTGTTTGATCAATGTTTTCACACTTCAATCACTCTTCCTACATCCATGGTATTTCTCGTATTCGTGGCTTACTTGTGGTTGTATGTGCCTTCTCTGTGTTTACTATCGAAAGACGAACACACACAAGTGCCCACTCCCACTTGTCCTTTGGAGGACAAAATGTGTTGTCCTCCGAGTCTGCTCATGTCCTCTTGGCGTCCTCTTATGTGGAGCTACTTCCTCTCTAGCCCTTACAGTCCTCTCCGAAAGAGTTGTCCTCCATTTTCCCTTAGTCCTCCAGGTATTTCCATGTCCTTGAGCATTAGACCACCTGTCAGTGGGGCCAGCTGATGAGTCCTCCCACTTACAAACTAAAGGACGAAAACCACATGCTGAAATGTGGTTCCTGGCTGAGAAGGATGGAGGTAAGAAATGGTTTCCCTGCCGTGGCCCTGGCTATATACAAGATTGGTTAGCATATCATTGTGTCTGAGTAATGTATGTTATGTACTGGTAGACCATGTGTTTGACGAGACATCCAATTCAAAAGACTTGTATGACGGAATAATAAAATATCTGCCATGCAGGGCATCAATGGTACGACTTTCCCTCCAGTTCCCGTGATGAAGTCATTGGTGAAGTGCTGGGTTCTGACTGTCCTTCCTCCCCCTCTCTGTTCTTAGGAACTGTGTTCGGGTGCGGGTAGACTTACATCCACAATGACACGGAGTGAACCTGAACCTGGGGTTATTCCTCTGACCATGAAAGAAATCTCTCATTACTCTCTTTGCTTGTATACTGCTGCTGCAGAACAATGTGAGGCTACTGGGCCTGAAATGTGTGAGAGTGGCAGATGCCAATGAGGTAATCAGAGTCATCAATGCCGGAAACAGTGAGTTAATGCTTTAAAACTCAGATCTCTCTCTATCATTAATTCTGTCTCTCATGCCCCCCTATCTCTCTCTCTCTCTCTCTCTCTCATGCCCCCACAAGCGCCTCCCCTTCCTCCATGCATTGAGTTGTCCTGGTGTAGTTGGCTTGTTTATATACCTCACCTTGTTGTTGACACATGCATAACTCAGTTTGAAGCAAATGGGCCGTCTTCTATGGTTTAATTACCCCTGTCTGCTCCTACATAATTATATACTGAGTGACTGAGTGAGAGTATACTGTGCCATAGCACAGTGGTTTGAAGGTTTGCATTTGTGTTGTTGGGTTGAAAATTTGAACCCCTACCAGCTGAATTGGCATGGTAGCTCTGTCCACAATCACCAGTGATATAATAATAATATAATAATGAACCAAAAGCCCCTAGATCCCTGAAAAACCCGGAATGGAGCGATGTTATGTGCATATGTAGCTTGCAGGTTTTGCAGTCTCTATGCATGAACTAACACTTATAATCTTCAGGCTCTCCTTTCTCTGGGAAGTCCTGTGACTATAGTTTGTGCCTGCCTTTTCCCTTATTACCACTGTGTGTGTGTTGAACATTTACAGGGGAATGTTGTTCACTTGTAGTGGCAACAACTTCAGTAGGCTACAGGAATATCTGTCTACCACCCAGTCACATAATGAATAGGACAACACTCCCTCCCTCCCCTTCCCCACATATACACTCCATAACAGCAGAGAGTGATTGTATGCAGTGGTCCAATGGTGGGAGAGTGCTTTGAAAGTCTTTTTCCTGGAAAAAAGAGGC